TCGGGATGACCCCTGGGGACTAACCCTGTAAATCATTCAAACCATCTTAGCATGACAAACCAGAATATATATGGTTTAGGGGTGGGGATCTTGACCACTTACAAGATATTAGAACTTTCTTAAATGGCAGGGGGTGGGGATGACCCCTGGGGACTAACCCTTTATATCATTCAAACCATCTTAGCATGACAAACCAGAATATATATGGTTTAGGGGTGGGGATCTTGACCACTTACAAGATATTAGAACTGTCTTAAATGGCAGAGGGTGGGGGTGACCCCTGGGGACTAACCCTGTATTTCATTTGATGTGCTTTATCATGACAAACCAGAATATATATGGTTTAGGGGTGGGGATCTCAACCATTTACAAGATATTAGAACTTTCTCAAATGGCAGGGGGTCGGGATGACCCCTGGGGACTAACCCTGTATATCATTCAAACCATCTTAGCATGACAAACCAGAATATATATGGTTTAGGGGTGGGGATCTTGACCACTTACAAGATATTAGAACTTTCTTAAATGGCAGGGGGTGGGGGTGACCCCTGGGGACTAACCCTGTATTACATTTGATGTGCTTTATCATGACAAACCAGAATATATATGGTTTAGGGGTGGGGATCTCGACCATTTACAAGATATTAGAACTTTCTCAAATGGCAGGGGGTCGGGATGACCCCTGGGGACTAACCCTGTATATCATTCAAACCATCTTAGCATGACAAACCAGAATATATATGGTTTAGGGGTGGGGATCTTGACCACTTACAAGATATTAGAACTTTCTTAAATGGCAGGGGGTGGGGGTGACCCCTGGGGACTAACCCTGTATTTCATTTAATGGGCTTTATCATTTAGAACATTTTCAATTAAAAAGATTGTGTCTATCACAAATGGTTTTCAATTTATAATCATTTGAAAATTTAAAAAAATAAAATCCCATAGGGTTCTATAGTAAAACCCTCTTTTCTTTTTGCCCCTCAAAGTACCCCTTTATAAACCCCATTGCACAAACAAAACCCTGATTGCACTACTAGACATGTTAGTCTAACATATTGTGAAACCCTAAGTTAATCTGACAAGCGGTTTTGGAGAACGGGTGCGGACAAGTTCAAATTTAAAAGCGGCGGAAGAAGAAGAAGAAGAAGAAGAAGAAGAAGAAGAAGAAGAAGAAGAAGAAGAAGAATAATAATAATAATAAGAACTGAGCAAAAACAATAAGTCTTCCCAAACTTCGTTTGGGAGACTTAATTAAAACGAAAGTAAATGTCCGGTAAAAATATTGAATAGAAGCATGTTTTCGGCTTCTTTTTGATAGCTGAGGGAAAGTTATGATGATAACAAGACTCAGCTAGTGATTTTAGGAAGCGGTCATTGAACGCACGGGCGTGTTTGCGTACCATAACGAGAACATTGCTAGAGCGATAAACACGGGGTTCCGTCAAAAACGAAATCAGTTGGAAAAAGTGAAAGGCCAAATCAATTATGACATGCTATGTAGTTTGAAAGCATCGGAAACCAAAAGTTCTGATAAGGGACAACTTAACCCAGATTTATGTAAATTGAATTAAACGAAAACAGTTTATATATTATTTTTTTCATTTTAGTTGATGAGTGAATACACATATCCGTTTTTTACGTCAATGCAGCTTGACACTTTCTTTGTTTTTGGTCTAATTGTTCTAGATGCTTAAGATAGTTGTCTTATTGGCAAGTGCAGTATAACATTGTCATTTATTTACTTGATGTTGCAGAATTATTTGTAAATTTAAGTTGAATGTGGTCTCCGTCATTATAAACCACCCTACCCTATAAACCTCAAGGTTTTGGGGGTATATCTTAAATCTGGAAACTACTTTTTTTTTTTATTAAAAAGTAGATCTGGCAAATAGGTGAAAGGACTGGCAAAACTTTCTTACAGCACCTAAATTTCACATATATTACACAAAAATCTAAACACTTAGCCACACCTACCCCAACTATAATTAAACTGTAGGGTGATCATATGGGATCTAGAAAGGCAATTAGTTCCTGTCCAACTAGTGACACCAGCTGCAGTTTACATAAGTTTTGAGAAAATACAAAACTGACAGAACGTTTAAAACGGGACACAAATTAAATGTACAATAGCTCGTCAGTGAATAAACCAAATAAAACAGCTAGCACATATTCTACAAAGAAAGAAACACATTTAAGATGGAAACACATCTGGGGTTGATATAATGTGATTATAACATGCCTAAATATTCAATATTGTGTTGATTAAAAAACCCAATACATTAAGGAGCTTGGTGGTGAAAAACCCAATTTGATATTTGCTTGAGGGGTGAATTGGAATGATAATGCAATTAAAAAACTTTATCACCCAATTACATAAAAAAATGGTGGGTAAAAACCCCAATTTGTGAATTCTTATCTGGAGCTCTGTACATATGTACTTTAATTCAAATCATCTGTATACAGTAAATATGTGTTTAATCTTTAGATATATGTAGAAACCAACAAATGACCTTTTTTTATTTTGAAATCTTCCTCCTTAACCATTTTCTTACAAAGATTGATTGGTGTTTAATGCCATTTTCAGCATTATTGGCTATTTCATGGCATTCAGTTTATGTTGGTGGAGGAAGCACAGACCTTTGACAGGAAAACTGACAATCCTAGTCAATTTAGATTGGAGTGGAACGCCACTGTCACGTACAGGGTTCGAGCTCACAACCTCAGTGTTGACAAGCTAGTGATATAGTAGTTGGACTATTTAGGCCACTCCGCCACGGAGGCCCCTCTTACAAAGAAGTAAATTATCTCACTATAAAAAAAAATCTATTTCATCTTCAAGAGACAACTTATTTCTCTGAAAAATTCAGACTAGTACCACCGTCACCTGGTATCCATGAATTACCAACTATATCTACTAGTATTGTATTGAAATGAAAAAAAGGCTTTTTTCAAAGAGGTTTTCTACACCTTTAACCCAACTTTAGAACACTTCATTGCATGAAGGATGACAGTTCGTTTAAGCACCAGTTTAAAGTAAACGAACTTTCTTAAGAAATTCAAAATTTTAATTTTTTCTATATATGAAAAGTTAGTTTTTATCTTTTAAACTTTAATTACACATTTGATACATACAGGCAAATCCACAAGGGTCCTGTCAATAAGATTGTTTCACAAATGTAAGTAATTTTTGTCTGAATGGATTTGTTCCAAATAAATATCAATATAATTTTCTCTTTTCCATTTCAAACTTCTTTATAAGACTGTTAGAGTTATCTCCCATTCAATAACAGATATCATGTATATTATAAATTTATTGAAAAGTTAAATTCACACAACTCTCCTGCTGCTTTATAAAATCATACCCAAAATACCACTAGTGAATTTAAAAATCATAAAAGTTTAAATACAATTTTCACAGGTATGACCTACAATGTCCATGCAAACCAGCACCAACTAAAAATGATATTAAATGTAAATAACACTAAATGAATTTGGTGTGTTGGAAGCACTATTCTGGAATCACCTTCATCAGGGATGCTTAAACCCATAATTTCAAAACCAAGGATGCATAAATAGTTGGGTTATTCTCATAAATAGGGACTTTTGATTTTTATTCTCTGAAATGTTTATTAATTTTTGCTCTGCAAACTTTTGGTCATGAAAGTTTGTGATGATTATTTTACAGAAACAAGTTTTGTGGAAATCATATATGTTTTTAACTGGTACAAATGGATCCAACTGTTCAAATTTTTCATTTTATCTAATAAAGATTGTTTTCTTGGAGCCACCTCTATCATTGTACTTTATACAAAAAACTTATAAAAGACGGGCAAGTTTATTTGCACCATATTTCAAGTGTAAAAGTATAACATTCCAAATATCATTTAAACCAAAAAATAGAAATTTGGGTTCAATCAAGATTTTCACTAATATCACTTTTCTTTTTTCAAAATTTTATTCCCCAATATAAACATAAGTAAATATATGCTACCTACTGATGAGTATTTGCAGTAAATGCATATTCCAAAGGTGAATTTTATTCTTACCTGTAGTACCTGATGGATGAAGAATATATGTTTAAAAGGATATCCAATTTTATTTTTCAAAAATGTTCATGAGATAAAAATATACTGCAAGTCAACAACAGAAAAAGGACTGTTCTTGTTTAAGGTAGCTGGGTAGTCTAAATGTTCCACGATAAATTTTTCTTTAAACTTCTGTATAAGATTTCTGGGTCAATGTACTTTTAAATTTCAATTCTATATAATTATTTGCCCTTGATTTTAAAAGGATTTTTCAGAAAATTTTAAATACACATAATGACACTTAGTTTTTTTATAGTTTAATCTTAAAATTCAAGTTTTAGATTATTCTGTTATATATTGTAAGATACTTCGTAAAATATTTTTAAACCAGAAATGTATTTTTGCAAGATGCTCAGAAAAAGACATCTGATCTACCTTATTAGGTAAGAGCATTTCAAAAACTTTTATAGTCAAGCTTTGGTGGGAAAGTAACTTCTGAATTTTTCATTGGCAATATATATAGAGAATTTTGAAATGTGGGAAAGACTACAAGGATTAACAGAAATTATTTTTTAAAATACCTCTTTCACAATAATAAAGAGAAATAAAGGTGTTGCTGAGTGAAAGAAGGTTTAATAGACTAATTTAGAAATTGTAATGAGAATGTCACAGTTTTAAAGTTCTGATTGGTCCATACTCCATTCACAAAAAGATTCAGAATGTGCAACATAATTTATGAAGACGAAAATGAAATTTATGATTGGTCATTAAAATGCATTACCATATAAATATAGATGCTCTACCATTCTTTTGATAATTGATTGATGTTTGCCTTACACCACCTTAGCTCAAAGGGCTATTTAATGGCAAGATTTTCTCTTGATTCAATAAAGATAAAAGGCAAGCAGCTGAGTACTGTTATAATTAAAGCATTATAAAACATCTTGGTGTGTGAAATATATCACAACTTACCGTAGCTGCTCTAATAAATTTTCTCCTTCACTGACAGTATTAATGGCTGCCTCTATAGTTGTCTCCCTTTGTTGATTAAACTGTCCTAGAAGTTGTTCAGCACCTTCAACTGTGTCAGCAATTTCTGAACTTTGTAGTTCTTGTTGGAGTTCTTCCAACCAGCAGGTAAGCTGTAAAAAAGAAAGTGTATCATATATTTTTTACATGTTAACAATTTGTTCTAGCTAACATTAAAACTTTACCTCGGAATTTAAACATTTAGTTGGTTGACAGGGATGACTAATAATATTCAATTTTTAATATCTAGTCACAAAATCGAACATAATATAAATGGCAAAGATGGGAAAAGAAAAGTTTCAATGCAAAGGGCAAGAACTCTTGATATATAGTTGCATTTATAGGTGTTTTTTTTATTTTTTTTTATTTTTGTGCCTTAACAAGAAGTGATTTGCAGCATAAAGATGTCAGGTTCAACTATTTTCACTTGGATGATCATAATTGAAAAATTCTCCCTTCATATGCCATTCTTTACGCATTAGTGCAGCATAAACCATTCACATGTTAAAAAGTTGTCTTGCATTTAGTTTTGAGCTTTATAACTGTTAAATAGTTTAAACAATATTTTATTTTTCAAAAGTGCACAAATTACAACTACCAAAAGAAATTCTAAAAATCTAATGTAATATTCTAAATAGAAATTGTTAACTTGCAACAAAAAGTAAATTTCATTTATAGGACAGTATGACAGGTTGAACACAATATATTCATCATTAAAAATATATTTGCTTATTTTCAGATTACATAACTATCACAATACTTACCTCATGTACATGAGTGTAGAAGAAAACTGTCATGTCTAAAGTGACACGCCTCCTTTCCAGAGCTGTGATGAAGCTAGCCATACGAGCCTCTAGTTCTTGAGCTTCACGGTAGATCTCTTCTGGATCACATTCTCCGGTCTGAGCAAGTTCATCAGCAGCTGCTAGTAATTTATCAGCATTTGTAACAGTGTTCTATAAACATATAATGAAATATAAGTAATTATTCAATAAGGACTGTTTATGTTAACTTCTGTCAGCATTTGTCGGTGTTAGTGCTATGGTAATATATTAAAAACACAGAAATCAATAGATAGTATGGCTAACTTTACTTAATTTCTATATAACAAACTTGAAATATTATACCCTGCATCATAGATGGATAAGCATTTGTTTATTTGGCAGCCTGTTAGCCTTAATGCATTTGTCACATTGTTTCATGAGTTTACAATATAATTCAAATAAATTCTCAATAGGGACATTATGTGTACGGAACTATCAGTATTTTTCACAGTGTTCTGAAAGTATATATTGATTTTTTTTAAATTAAACACAGTAATATTTAAATATGGCATATCATTCAATTCAATTCATTAAGTACAAATTTTTATGATGATATGTGCATTTATTCAGTAAGTATTCATACCAAATCAAATCAAATCAAATCAAATCATTTTATTGGTGTAAAATCCAAATATTGGATTGTTACCAAGACAAACATGACAATCATTACAAACATACAATATTTAAATTTAAACAACATTCATATTCTATAAGACTATATTTAGATGTTTTGGAGGAGGTGATACTTTTGCAAATTTGAAAGTGCAAGTACAAAAATTATAATACCTGAGCAACAGTTTCAAAATGTTCATGACTTTTCTGTAATGCTTTCCCTCTCTGTAAACTTCGACCAATGGTTGTATTCTTTTTAAGAAATCCATCACCATGACTGTCCAACCAATCAATTACCTGAAAAATTCAATTTCCACATATCAAAAATAATTCAAACTTGTATTCAATATTGTGCATGTGCATGGCTTTTTTTTCTATCAACAAATCAAAAATTTTTAAATTCAAGTAGAAATAACAATTTTTCTAATTTGTCTGAATAAAAAAGTAAAAAAAAGATAACCATGCAAATAACAATTGTTTTGGAATATAAACCTAGACAAAGTATGCTAGTGGCCAAAGGTTGGAAAGTGTTAAATATCATATGTTTTGAGAATACTTTTGAGAAAATTGACAATCATACAAATAACTTCTTCACAATTGGATAAATCCACATTATTATATACCTAGTAGTAAATACATGTAAACTGTATGTGTAATGCAATCAATGGCAATCGTGCTGTATCAACCATCTGTGATGATATTGACATAAGTCACGGGTGCAAAAGCTTTTTCAAACCCCTAAACTCTATGACGTCACGTCATCGATATCAGTCACGGTTGTAAAGGCTTTATCAAACCCCTAATCTGAATTACATCATCTCACGTGAAAAAAAACATCTACTTGAAATATATAATAAAGTGTATATGATATGGCTTTTTCAATATCACACCCCATATCAACCCTCAACAAATATAATCCCTCGAGCAGTGCTCTTGGGATTATATTGGTGTCTCGAGTTGATATGGGTGGGATATTGAAAAAGCCATACGATATTCTTTATGTGTTAATAACTAGATAAAGTTAATTAAAATCTTTTAGCTTTTTTTAACAGTTCACATCTGATGTCAAAACCTAATCAAATCAGCAAAACAAGTCATTTTTTTTTAAAACACAAAGCTGAAGGCACTTCAAGGAGAATAAGGGTTTGGAATGTATGCATAAGTTTTGTTAATAAGACAAAAGGTACTGAAACAACTGCATACATTTTTTTAAATCTGAAAATACAAAGCTAACTATCAGAAGTAAATGATTTAAAATAGTAGTTTATAATGAACACCTGTTTTTATTGAAGGTCAAATGTTCACCTCCACATGCCTTTTCAGTTTTATTGTGTAGTTGTTTCAATGTTGTTTACATTTAAAATAATTATAAGATTTGTTTTATGTGTTTTCAATTCATTACTTTACCTCTTTTGTATTTTCATGTTCCAACTTTATTTTATTTCTTTAAGTCAACGATACAAAAAATTAAAGTATTTCAATAAAACAACCACTACAAACCTGTTTAACATCTTGTTGGAACAATCTCAGTCCAAGCCGTTGATGAAGTTTGACTTTCTTTGTATGCCATGTCTGTTCCAAATGTCTTTGATGAGCAAGTACCTGTAATTTTGTGAATGAAATATTCCATTAAAAGTTATGAAAGTGTGTATATTTGTGTTAGATCCCCATTTAATTCAGTTTAATTCATTAACCCACGGTAAAGACATTCTTATAACAAGAATGTACACGTCATGCTAAGCATTTGTAATTCAAAGTATGGGAAGATAGAAAGTAGGTGTCTGACAGATAAAATAAAGCACTCACATGTTACAACTCATCACTTCCCAGCTGTTGACTATATATGAAGTCTGCTAAACGATTTAGTATCATTGATGTTCATTTGATCTTCCAAGTTTTTAAACACAAGTTTTTTTTTTTTTTTACCAAGATTTAATATATTTTCTCGACAACTATGACTTGGCTTACCTCATGAACTACATCCAGGACGTGTCCAGAAGCCTCTGAATAATCTGCTTTAGCAGTAATACTGTTCATACTACTAGAACTAACAGGTGTCTGGAGAGTATCTAATAATTGTTTACCATCCTGACACACCTGAAAAACAGGAATATGTATGCAATTTATTTATCAGACTTTATCTATAAACTGTTCTGATAAAGTTTGATCCAGAAATGCATTGAACGCACATTTACTTTCATTTTGATGTGAAAAAATCATTTTAGTATCACTTTGAGTAAAGAATCTTTTTTACAACAATACCTGCCCATAGGACACCATGCCTCATGGCCGGAGAAAAATGAGTATTACATAATCTGGGACAAAACCCCTGATTTTGAATATATTTTTGTGTACTTTGATTCAACTTGTTGTTTCAGCTACTGGATATTTGATGCAAAGAATAGTGTTTCCATATTATTTTGAAATTCATTCAACTAAATTGTAAGATTTTATCAAAATTAAAATCAGAATAAACTTGACCAAATTGCAAGGTACCCACTTAATTTACATATGGTGAGTGAAATAAGCAAATCCTCCAGATTGGTCCTATTACTAAACTTTGAACCTACTTTACAATTTTGCCCTCTTTTCCAGGAAAGTGAAATCACTAAATGAGACATATCACCAAATATGAACATACATGAGCAACAAGACAAGTGCCACATGTGGAGCAGAATCTGCTAACCCTATCAAAGCACGAGATCAACAAAAGTTTTTGATGGGGATAGTGTTCCTCTGTCTTTAGTTTTCAATGTTGTGTTTTGAAGATTCTTGTTTGTCTTTTCATTGTTAAGTTTTAAGTGCCAGTCTTTGTAAGAATCAGGCAATTTTGAAAAAATTCAAAACATGGCTGAAAAAAATCCACCGACCTAAACATCCTATTTTGAAGTTACCCTCATCCTGAGTTAGAAATGGTAGGTCTTTTGTTTCTGCGTGTCAGGTTATTCGAGAAATCTCCAGATAAATGTTGGTTAGAATAATAGCAAATAATGGAGTTAGCTCCCCTTAATTGTTAATTTCTAATGCATTTCAACCAAATTATATCTTGAATTACCAGAACAGGAAAAGGAAACGAAAGTTATATTAGTGCACCATTATACATTTTGAACATAAATTAATGTAATCTTGAGTGGGTTTTTGTTCGTCATGTTTTCACCACTGCCTGATTCTTAGGCAGATTGGCACTTAAAGTGTTGTCAGTTTCAAATTATGAGTTTGAATATCCTCCTTTTGGTACCTCCCACCTCTCTTTCACAACCTTACCTCAGCATATGATTGACTTATAGCCTCTATCAAGCTCTGATGCTGTTGAAGGGATGTTTCTAGCTCATGAATATTATTGGGTATACCAGGATCTTCACAAGCTTGTCTCCATCCAATCACTTGAGCTAAGTACTGAAATATCAAATATTGAATAAGAATTGTAAAAAATAATTTATTCAAAATTGTAATGAGAGTTTAAAGCACTGTTTGTATTGAAAACTATCTCCTGAAATAATCATTACGCATAGGGAAAAAATAGATTCTTCAGTTTATAAAGAAATAAAGGACATTATAAATATGAGCATTTTTAGAAAATATTAAAATTCCAAAACATAAAGATTTTTATTTTTTGAAAAGCTAAAATAAATATGTAAATTATTATATTTTCCAGAAGCTGCTGATAAATATAATAAAGGAGATTATAGACAACCAGCTTTTTATCGATCCATTAAGCTAATACTAATTTGAATCTTGGTTGGTTGTTTGTCTAATATACTCAGCTAAACTCTTAATGTGTATTTAAACAAGGAAATAGTTTACAAGGAGACATGTGAATCTACACAGGACACACTATCAATATCAATTGAATCAATCAATCATTGTTTCTTATCTTATATGCTTGGCTGAGAATTTTTGTTGAAGCAAATTTTTTAAAGAGCTTCTGAATAAGGTAACAGTTTACAGGAAGACATGTTCAAAATTTTTTTTTCTGAATCCAATCCAATCAGATAGTATCTTATTTCATTAAGAGAGAATTAGCAAATTTACCAATTTTAAAGTCAGGTTTGACCTGGCTGGAAATTGAACTAATAACCTCAAGCAATCACAGATAAAAGTTCTAATTTCTTAATTTCAAAATTTGGGCTCAAAGCAGCTGACTCTTACACATGGATATGCTCCCTTTTCATAGTTGTACAGCCATTTTACCTGTTCAGCCTTTTTATGGAAGGATGTAGACATATTAAGAACAGCACTCCTATCATCCAGAGCTGCAGCCAAGTTCTTCCATTCCCTCTCCAGTCGACTGGCCTGCATTCTTATAGTACTAGAGGCATAGTGACCACCATCACATAATTTTTGAGCCATACCAAGGATACGAGTTATATTTACATATACATTCTACAAATAAAATAGAAATTAAATGCAGCCGTAGAAGCTTATTGACAAAATCTTGCAACAGCTTCAATGTGACACAAACTAGTCTACTATAATAAATGATAACACTGTCCTACTTTGCCTTATTAAATGATGTTTGGTTATAATGTTTTCGATTCTTCCATAATATCTTGTAACCCATGCCCTTTTCCTCGGTTATGCATTCAAATTTTTGCCTAGCAACCCCAATATTTCTAACTGATTTTTAACTTGAACCTTATAACTATTGTGAAATTCTTGTTATTTCTGATAAATCTTTTATACAGTTTTAAAGTACTTTCGTCAACTATTTTCTGTAACAGGTATTTTTTTCTGCCAAAAACTTTTTTTAAAGGTTTTATAGCTTTAAACACAAGCAAATAAAATTTTAGATTTTATTTATTCTCTTCAGAAAAATACATTTTGAAATTTTTGTTATTTCTGTTATATTATACAGTTCAAAAGTAGTTTCTTCATCTATCTTTCATAAGAAAAATACAGACATTTTTTTCCTCCAAAAAAACTTTTTTTTTTGTTTCCTTAAACAAGCAAACTTTGACAAATTCCCTGTTTCCATTCTCAATTTTATAATAATTTTTAGGTTTTCATATATATTTCTAAGATTAATTAATAACATTGTAATAACATTGGATACATACAACAGCACTATTTGCAAATTGACTATGTTCAACTTCTAATTCTACTGCCATCTGGTGGGAATTACCAATCTCTGTATAATGCACCAGAAACATATCTTTATTGTGACCAATCCAGTCAAACATCTAAAATACAGAAAAAACAAAGGTCAAAAGAGGTCAAAAGAGAAAACCACCATTTGGGATAATTTATCCACTTCAAAAAAGTGATAAAGAAGCATATCTGTAATATGCCATCTGGAAAGAAGATCCAATGTTGTCATTATTGATATAAATGTATTAATTCAATATGATTCATTACATGAATATGAATACGAAAGCTTTTTTTAGTTTCAGAATAGTTTTGAACTACAAAACATAAGCTCTAGAGAACTTTTAAACTGAATACATACAAAAATTTTAAAAAATTGCACAATTGATTCCAATCTTCTGCATACTTTGGGAATAAAGTCAAATATTTATTTTCTATAATTTGTTCATGTCCATTTACAGAACACACAGATATTTCTTTCTATTGTTTCCATTTAAAAGTTTTATTTGCACATTTCTATTTCATTTGACTAGAATAAAATGGCTAAAATGCATTAATTCTATTTGACTAGTCTCAGTGTCATAAACCATTTCCAATATCTTTACTCACTGCAATGATTGCTTTTTCTCACCTTTTCAACATCTTCTTCAAATATTCTCAGCTGTAGACATTGTTCCAATCTCAAACGTTTAACTGACCATAACTGATTCAGATGCTGTTTCTGTCCATGCATCCTATCTAACAGTTGTGAAATCTGAGGGACGGAACTCTGAAAATCAGCTGTAGCCGATACCACAAACCTTCGACCTGAAATAAAAAAAAATAAACTTTTGCATTAAACTTGCTTATTTACTCAGCAGGAGAATGTAATTCAGCAATTGTTACTTCAGTAATTGTAAGTGCCATTGAGAAATACCAAATAATTATTTTTTAATATGCTAGGCTTGAGAGTGGGTGTATCTACATCATTCCTTCATCATGCTATTTTCAAAAGTTTGAACCTAAATCATGAGGTTCAAGAAAATTTTGTTACTATCATTGATGATCACACAAAGTTCTGTTATTGAAACTGCTTGAAATGTAATCTATTCCATTTGAGAAGAATTGAGTTTATATCATCACCTTCAAACATAGTTTTTATTATGCACAAAACATCCCATGGCCAATATACATCTATTCAATATCAATTCTTATTTTCAATGAATTGACTAAATTTAGGACTTAGTTTCAATTTTATGTGTCAAAATAAATTGATTCATTTTTAACGCGAAACAAAAAGAAGTGAAAGACATGTAAATATCTTATTTCTCACCTTTGATAGTGTGTAACTGTGGAAAATGCTTTTAATTTGCACAAATTTTGAAGGTGCTTTACATTTATGATATGGTGATGATGATGGATGGCTGCTTAACGTCCAGCAGCATATTAATATGCATATTCAGGGCGAGAACATGTTAATGTAATATGAATATTAACCCTGCTTTGTACTAGACCGACATGCTCAGCCGGATTTTTAATGTGCTAGTTCACAAGGTAGCAGTCTGCAGGAAGACATGTTACCTTACCCGGACACATTATTCTGATTCTGAGCTGACCAGTCTATGCTCTCACTCTTTAATACCACATGCTTAGTTAAAAAGCAGCACAAGACAACCGAGGCGGTACCATTTACAATATGAGGTCAGATTCTCTATTAACTGCAACCTGGGACATTTCTGTATTGTGTAATTTTTCCCAAAAAAGAAAAAAAACATTTTGCAACAGTTCAAACATATACTGATGAACTCTTAACATTAAAAAAAATCTGAGTCTTTTAAAGAAGACATGTGTTATCCATGTTGAGGTATTGGAAACCCCTTAAATCAATCAGATCAGAAATTAAATTAGCAGGTGCACACGTTCCTGTTCTGTTGAACAATCTGTGCAAGTTTGGTAGAACTCTGTCAAGCCGTTTTGAGAGTTGTTGATTAAAAATTTAAATCTGTGACACAGATGACTGAAGTGTTCCATATCAATGACTACAGCTATGCTGTTAGTTGACACAATGGATCTGTTGCAATATTACAAATTTAACAATACCTTGTTGTTGGTCCCCTGTAATTTCCATCAGTATCCTCTGTCCTTCCATCCCCAGTTGTTCTACAGGTGCCATATTGACACGTCTTTTCAGTTGATTATGTTCCTCCAATCGACACTGTGCACCATTTAAATTATCTGGAAGTTCTGGATTGGTCAAAATATTTCCAAGTTCATCTAGTTTATCAAGGAGATCTAAGGCTTTACATATAAATTCTTCTAACATCTGGAAAAGATATTGGATAAGATCATATGAAATGATTCTGTGTACTTTATACAGAAGCAAGCATAAAAGTTAATAGTTTTTTGTTTAACTATTAATTTTTAATCACTTGTACAAACCAAATATGATTTTACCAATCGGTAAAACGGATCAGTACTTTGTTATATTTTTTTTTTGCTTGGTTCTGATCTGATGATTCAACTGACATTTATAGTTTTTTTTTATTTTGTGCTGTTATTTACACAACTTTTCCAGGTAAGGGGAGCCTGTATTCCAGTGGTTGTCATTGGTTGCAGTTTTCAATAATCATTTTATGTTATCAGCCTTAATCAGGCCATTAGTTTTCTTTTCTTAATTGTTTCACATTTGTTATTCTTTGTCACAAATAGCTTAGTCTATGGTATGTGTTTTTGTTCTTTGTCACAAATAGCTTACTCTATGGTATGTGTTTTTGTTCTTGTCACAAATAGTTTACTCTATGGTATGTATTTTTGTTGTTCACATCTCCATCTCTTTTTTAATGAATAGTTGTCTCATTAGCAATCATACCACATCTCCTTACTTTTATTCAGATGCAGGCTGAAAACCATGTACACTTACTAGGGTATAATAACATGTCATTGAGAACTACCAAATCAAAATTTGTTTGGACATTTTGTTATGGAACAGTAAAGGCACAATTGGGTGAAAGAAAACTTGACAAATTAATCAGCATTGTTAAAACTGCTTCATTGTGAATGATACATACCAATCTAAGCTGTATCCATTGCTCATGATTATACTCCAGTGCCCCATCAAATTCTCTCGTCAGCTGGGTGGGGTCTATAGATTTGGTGAGATTGTCAAGTGAGATCATAGTGGTCTAAAATACAAAATAAAATGCATTTAAAGCATTAAAATTTGTAAATAAATTCTACTTTTTCTTCATTTTCAAATCTTGAAAAATCAGTACAATTTGAACCCTTGCATATGAAGTTATAATGCATCCGTTATATGATTTTTATTTCAATTACAAATACTTTGATTTGTTGTACCAATATTTGTTATTGATATGTAAACACTGGTATGTACAGGGTTTCTATGGCTCAATATGTTAGAAAGAAACCAGTCATTTTGCTTAAGGGCTATTTCAGGAAAAATGCATGGGGGGATGGACACTTCTTTTTAAAACACACTACCAATAATTTTTATTTTCATTTGTAACCATATTGTATTTGCTTCCACCCTTATTACCCTCAGAAAAAAACCATCATTTGGTGTCCAATCCTCCCATTCATTTTTTCCTGAAATAGCAAAAACTTCATAGTTGAATTGTTGCAGTATTAATTGTATATTGACTGGACCACCAGAGTTCCTCTCCATGATTTTTTTTAAGGTTATGTTGCTCAGTCCTTGTTTTTTGTGTTGTTTTGTGATCAGACTTTTTTCTTCTTGACCATGGTATTGACTGTATGTTTCCCACTTGAGGTTTTGATTGCCTCCCTCCTGTCTTCTTAATTTTTTGTAATTGTATTTTCTCTACTACAGTGAAACCTGCTGTAAAGGTGGCCTCTTTAAAGCGATAACCTGTCTTAAGGGGTCACCCTCTTCTTGTCCTGCCATAGTAATACCCTTTCAATTTTTTATCCTAAGGTCACCTCTTATTTCTGGTAAGTTTTTCTGGGTTTAAGAGTAACCTTTATAAACGACTTTGTCTCTTAATTACAAGTCATATTTTCTTACATCTATACAATTGATTCTAGAATAATTTGATGCTTACCTCAAAATTATATTTGGCACTTCCAAGACTAGTTCTTTGTTTTTCCCAGAACTTCTCTGGTTTGATTATAAAAGCTATATAAATGCTGCCAGGAAAACATTCCTACAAAAGATACATGTCCACAGTATGAGCAAAAGCAATGTTTTGAATGAATCTTGCTTCAGTCGAAAGGATTGTGGATAAAATCAAATAAATATTTGTCATCCCTTTGGTCAGAAACCAACACGACCATTATTAAGGTCACTGTCAACAAAATATTTAGGTGAACAACTTTGAAAATATCACCCAGAATACATTTAATTCTGAAATTGTGAATTATCCTGAAGTTTTTAGTTGTTAACACCTGTTGTGTTATGTTGAACACTGAAAGGGTTCAATGAGTGAGATACTGCCTCATGCAGTACAAGTCACATTTCTTAAAAAATATATTATTATCAAGTTGAAAATACTACACTCATGGCACAATTCACGATTAACCTTCATCAGAACTCATATGAAAATGTAGTACAATTGACACATGTGTAAAAACATGGAAAGTTTAATAATAAAAAAGAACAAAAAAATATCAGCCAAAATCCAAATTAAGGAGAAGTATACTTATTTGGGTAGTATTTCAGATTTTTTCACAATTTCACATGCATTAAGAACTAATATTAACAGCAGCAACACAAAGCACTTCAACCTGAATAGACATCTTGAGGTCATCCTAAATTGTACATTAATGGACTAGCACTCCAATAGAATCACCCCATGTTAACAAGTTATGAATAAACTTATCAGAGGCGACAACTTCAAAACACCAGCATCAATTTCTCAATTGTCAACAACAACATATCAGCTCCCATTAAGTAATGACCAGCAATTACCAAATATCTAATTTCAGTTCAATGACTTAGCGGGTTCAGGAACGATATTGACATTAATATAATGTTTATAAACAACAGTATTGATTTTTAATTAATTAGACATTAAGTCGAGGTTTCCCTAATGAAGGAAGCCAATAACGAGCTGAAATAAATCTTCCGGGAAATCTATTAATAGCTTGATAGGAAAAATTATAGAAAAGGAAAGGGATGAAATAGCAATACACTTATTTTAGACACTTGGAAATAATTGACAATTTCACCCCCAAAAAAACTGAACTCAACAGGAATCTAGGAATTTGTTGTCACATATTTATTGTTATTTCAGACTTCCTTCCATGTGTCCTGTACATAGGACTTTTTATAATATGATTCATAAAATATTCTACAAATTATAGGTAACTGTTCTATAAAAAAAAATTCATGGTTTTCAGAGTAGTCAATTCCAAAAAGTCATAATTGATTTCCTTGAAAATGGTTGATTCCAATTTACTTGTATGAAGAGTTGTTAGAAAAAATCAGTGTTATAACCAAACTTTTCGTAGATATAGTCACCTGAAACATATTATGAAAACCTGAAAAATATTGATTTCAATATTAAATAAATTAGAAAATAGCTCTGGGTAAAGTTTATATTCCTGTGCATGTTTCGCAAGAAAATAAGATAGCACTTGCATAAGTTTGGGTGTAAAGCCCTTCTTCGTAACTAGATATGCCACTTCAACAACAAATTTTCCAACAGATATCATTTTGTCAAAATAGGTCAATTGCAAGGAAGTGGAAATAATATCTGACTCTATCCAAATATACAAATATATTATGAACAATTGGTCAAGTATATGCACGTGCCAAGTGCAAATATGTGTAACTACTATTTCCACGACATTTCCTGTTTGCTCACATATGCAATTTTGTCAATAAAAGGTAAACTGGAGTTTGTCTGTAACTAATAATTATGCAACATTATTTTAATTTTAAACTAATCAGCTAAATACATACAAGAACAAAACTAGAGGCTCTAAAGAGCCTGTGTTGCTCACCTTGGTCTATGTGCATATTCAACAAAGGACAGTGACACACTCCAATATTGAAGACCAGAATAGAATTCATGACAAAAATCTGTTTTGTTGATTTTTTACTGCTGATCATGTCGTCTGTTTAGTTTCTCTCTATCTTCTTTAGTTTTTGCTCAAAACACAAAAGAGGGTAAAAAAAGTCCTCAATTCAGGGCAATCACTCCTTTAAAGAGCAACAGTCTACTAACTATATCGTCAAAATTTGACTTGTTAGTAGATCTAATGCCTTGTGGTCATTTTTGTGATTAAAAGTGTCTATTTATATATTATAATTTTTATCATATAAGGCAAAATGCAATTAAAATGGTAAAAATGGTCATTAAAGGGCAACAACTGCAATAAGAAGTTTTCGGATGATTTCCTCCATATTGTCTTAATTTTAGATCTTGTCTTACTGATCATTTTTTGCTTATTTAAGTTTCTATCTATCTATTTAATTTTTAAGATATAAGGCAAAAATGCAAAAGATTGGTAAAAACCATCATCAAAGGGCAATAACACTAATAAGGAGTCAACTGACGATTTTGACCATATATGGCTTATTTGTAGAACTTGCTGATCATTTTTGCAATTAAAAGTTTCTCTCTATCTATTATAGTTTTCAGGATAATAGGCAAAAATGAAAAAAAACGGTAAAATTTGTCATTTAATTAAGGGCAATAACTCCTATAAGAAGTCGTCTGACAGTTTTGACATATACGGACAATTGGTAGAACTCAACATTCTGAACATTTCTGCTCCTGTCAGATTTTCTCAATTTATCAGATTTATAACGGTTTTCAAAATAATAGACAAAACTTGCATTTACCCCTATGTTCTATTTTTAGTCATGTCGGCCATCTTGGTTGACAAACAGGGTCATCGGACAAATTTTTTAAACTAGATACCCCAATGATGATTGTGGCCAAGTTTGGTTATATTTTACCCAGTAGTGTCAGAGGAGAAGATTTTTGTAAAAGTTAACGACAACAGGCGCCAAGTGATGAGAAAAAGGGCCAGGTGAGCTAAAAAGTAAATGCAATTGAGAGACTGATGAAAGATAGAACTAACCAGAGTAAAACTATAAACAAGACACATATGCCAAAAAACTCAGTAAATAGGACACAGTCACATAAAAATAAAATTAAAACTTTTATTTTAGCCACATTGAAACAAAAACATTCATAGTCACAGTAAACAAGACACACCCACAAAAAAACAGTAAACAGAGCACAGCCACTAAAAAACAGAAAACAGGAAACAGCCACTAAAAAAACAGAAAAACAAGACAGTCACAAAAAACACAGTAAACAGGACACAGCCCCTAAAAAATCAGTAAACAGGACACAGCCACATAAAAACATAAACAGGACAACACCACTTAAAAAAACATCAAACAAGACACAGCCATTTAAATTCAGAACATGAAGTTGATTTCAGTCCATTGGTATCATACATGTTTAACCAGAACAGCCCTTGTCCACACATTTTTACTCCAAATGTTTATCCTTATTTAGCATGCAAATTTCTAAAAATTAATGACAAAAAATCCGATTATAATTTCTTTAGACTTGTGTCTGATGTGCAAATCACAGTTATTTCAGAAAAAAACAAAATAGATCATTTTAAACTAAACTAATTATTCCAATATCTTCAGATTACAAATGTGACAAGATAACATTTGTTGGAATAAGACTCATAACTTATCATCACATAATTATCTCTGAGGTTTTCGATCAAATATTCCTCATCTTGGCCTTAAGGTATATATATAATAGTTTAAGCTCTTAAAGTCCCAGAGTAAACAGAAACATCAGACATCAGCCATCAACACAAATTTCCCAATAACAAAAAAGGTCTTAAAAGATTTGACATAGGAAAACTATTGATGAGGCTCCTCACGAATATGTCATCAGGTAAAAATTTTCGTGACAAAAATCTTAGGCTAAAAATTCTAGAGCAGATTTGGGTCCTGTGAGGCATACATATGATCTGAGGACCCAAACTCTAAAAAATTCATTAGTACCTCAAGGCATTGTGCTTATTCAATTTCATGATCATGGGTTTAAAAGTTCTAGAGTCATTAGGACCTTGACCACTAAACCTTTAAATTAATCCTTTCTTTCAATGGGTCAAATTGAATTTTTTGCTAGATGGAAGTTATTGCATTGTGTTAAACTGATAAAAGTGTCAAAATAATTCTATAAATACAAGAAAATTATGAACTCATCCCTCTGATTATACAATTGGTAAATAGTACCTTTATATAGATTTTAAATTTATATAAATTTTTATTTTAGTAAACTTTTCCATTTATCAATTAACAACAAAATTACAACTGTTTCCAACTAAAAACGACACTAATATCCAATAAGGCAAAAAATTTCGATATGCACTCATTAAATGCAGTGGTTTTCCCATAATTACCGTTTGTAGACATAAAAATTTGTTCAGCCAGTCACAAGGAATAATTATATTGAAATATTGCAGTTTTACAAAACACGGATATGATACTGATATTAACGATGAAATATATATTTCTATCAATGGTTATATCTCAGCACAATGCATGGATCAATACTTTTGTTTATAAACATTACAGATATAAGAAATCAATAAGTATGACTCATCTGGGGGTATGTAGATATAAAGGTTGTTCCCAGGATAGATTGTAACATGCATATGGGTACAGAGATAGAGCAAAGTGTGTAGGAAGTTTACACATACAAAATAACATAGATAGGCATAAAAGTTTTGCATTCAAAGGCTTCCAAAGTTAGACTTGGATTTTTTAAAAGCTAGACTACATCAGCTCAAAATTTGGATTTTTGCTAAATTTAAACTGAATTATTAACATTGGATTAAAATCCAGTCAAAAGCCTTACATATTTTTTAAACATAAATCAGGCTTAATTTTAGGACAATGAAGTCCTAAATTTCCTAATGTCTCAAATATTCAAAACTGTACATTTTTTATATGAACTTTTAACTCTGAGGTAAAGATGATGACTTTATTAGTAGCACTATGGCCTGAGTGTAATGTTAGGCATATGTACATCTGCTTAGATCTTATCTGATCTGAATTAAAAGTTTTTATGCACATAGACATAAAAAAAAACAGTTTCTATCGGTCATGTTAAAATTCATTCCTTAATCTACAACATGTACGAACTATGCCTTCACATACCTGTAATACTTTAAGAATTGGTTTAACTATCTGCCAGGTTGAACCTCGCATATCTAATATCACAGTAAAACCTTTGTCCCTCACATCATCGCTAAAATAGAACATCCAAAAATCAGTTAAATTTGTGTAAAATTCTCCAAAAAAAATGATAAAATCACAGAAATTTAAAGTGAAGAAAGAAATATAATAAATTAATAAGAAATAAAAATCCATTCACTGTCTACCGTTGAAAAGTGAACATTAAACATTCCCGCTAAAAATATCTTCATATCAGAAATTTCATTTTTTTTTATTACATATACTGTATTAACATTTCATCAACAACAAAATTTTCCTTTTGTATTCTGACAGCAATTTATCCTACAGTTCTACAAAGAAAATACCCTTAAAGACTGATGTGACAGAACACCATTTACCTAGGGATCCTGGCTAGATATGTCATGAGACGTCTGAGATCATATTTACCTAGGGATCCTGGCTAGATATGTCATGAGACGCCTGAGATCATATTTACCTAGGGATCCTGGCTAGATATGTCATGAGACGCCTGAGATCATATTTACCTGGGGATCCTGGCTAGATATGTCATGAGACGCCTGAGATCATCATGGTCTAACCGTTCTGGATGTGTACGCGATGGAAATGTTAATATTGGTCCACCACGTCGGTCTCGTCCACCTAAAACACAGATATTGTGGTGAGAACTTGTTAAGTGTAACGGAAGCTTTACGAAATTAAATATAGAAAATACAGGTGTCCTTCAAGAGAAGCAGCAGGTAAAATATTGTATGCATCATCAAATGTTAATCAAATCTTGAATTTCCTCTTTAGCAGATCTTGTGTAAAATGGTTATCATACCTGCTACTTCTGAGCTCACTGTAGATTATAACAAATACCAAAATAATTACGGCAAATTAAATCTATTAGAATCTGATTTGTAGTTGGACAAAAAAAATTAACCAATTGCTGATAGTATCAAATTCAGAACTAAAAAAATGTTTTACTCAATATTCATAATATTCAAAAACAAATTTATCTTTTCAAAGATGACTCAGTAAAAACTCTATTGTCAATGAAGAATTGGTCAGGGAGGTTGTTGACATACTAAATTAAATGTTAATTGTGGGAGGCTGTTGATTGGTTGACATATTCAATTGTCAGCTTTCAAATATGATGATTTAACCCTCACCTACTGACAGGCATTGATAAAATTGGTTTTCCAAATTCATTAATCTTACCTGACAGGTAGGCCACCCTCTCTCTAAGAATAGGCACTATATCAGCAGCTTTCAACCCATCTGTTCTTTTTCCTCCTGAAAACACAAAAGATTGTGTAATACTAAGTACAAAAGTAATATCATTCAGGATTTTCCAGTGTCCTAGCAAGGCCGAAAAAAAAAACAGCATGACACCTATCTCGTTCAGGATGTGCTTCTTCGCCCTGGAATTTGAAAGAAAATCACCCTTGTTTCCATTTGGATGTTCAACATCTTTAGTTACTGAGGATTAATCATTTTTCGTTCAATACTAAGTTTAATGGATTTCCTGGGTACAGGTGAACCACGAATTTAAAGGTTCTACAAATGACAAATTTCCCATATATAAGTATGCAGACTTTGGCAAAACCATGAAATTAAATATCCACGAAAATACAATTGTTCATCAATCCACGAAAATTGATACCCACGAAAATAAATGAATCCACAGTACCTAGTATCTGTCATTTCCACCAGAGACCAAAGCACGAGGAGGTAAACAACTATAGGGCACTGTACCGTTTTCAACATAAAGCAAAATCCATACTGTATAGTAAGCTGTAATAGGCCCCAACATAAAATAAAATGCTTCGCTGGGCGCAGCTTGATACGACCGCAGAGGTCGAACCCTGAACAGTTGGGGCAAGTATGGACACAACATTCAAGCTTGATACAGCTCTGAATTTGGATTGTGATTAAATATTTGACACAGCATAGGTTTCTGACACAGAAAGAATGTGGTCTAAGAACTTCAATTTTTTTAATTTACCTATTATGGTCCAATGTCCAAAATCAAAATACATGGTTAGAATCAGCATATCAAAGAACCTCATATATTCAATTTTTGTTGAAATCAAACAAAGTTTAATTTTGGACCCCAACTTGGACAAACTTGAAAACTGGTCCCATAATCAAAAATCTAAACACATGTTTAGATTCAGCATATCAAAGTACCAAAAGAATTCAATTTTTGTTAAAATCAAACTAAGTTTAATTTTGGACCCTTTGGACCTTAATGTAGACAAATTTAAAAAACGGGACCCTAAATTAAAAATCTAAAAACACAGTTAGATTTGGCATATCAAAGAACCCCAATAATTCAATTTTTGATGAAATCAAACAAAGTTTAATTTTGGACCCTTTTGACCTCAATATGAACCAATTTGATAGCGGGCCCACAAATAAAAAGTCTAAATACATGGTAAGATTCAGCATATCAAAGAACCCCATATATTCAATTTTTGTTGAAATCAAACAAAGTTTAATTTTGGACCCCAATTTGGACCATCTTGAAAACTGGGCCAAAAATCTAAAATCTAAATACATGTTTAGATTCAGCATATCAAAGAACCCCATATATTCAATTTTTGTTGAAATCAAACAAAGTTTAATTTTGGACCCCAACTTGGACCAACTTGAAAACTGGTCCCATAATCAAAAATCTAAACACATGTTTAGATTCAGCATATCAAAGAACCCCAAAAATTCAATTTTTGTTAAAATCAAACTAAGTTTAATTTTGGACCCTTTGGACCTTAATGTAGACCAATTTGAAAAACAGGACCCAAAATTAAAAATCTAAATACACGGTTAGATTTGGCATATCAAAGAACCCCAATAATTCAATTTTTGATGAAATCAAACAAAGTTTAATTTTGGACCCTTTTGACCTCAATATGAACCAATTTGATAGCGGGCCCACAAATAAAAAATCTAAATACTTGGTAAGATTCAGCATATCAAAGAACCCCATATATTCAATTTTTGTTGAAATCAAACAAAGTTTAATTTTGGACCCCAATTTGGACCAACTTGAAAACTGGGCCAAAAATCTAAAATCTAAATACATGTTTAGATTCAGCATATCAAAGAACCCCATATATTCAATTTTTGTTGAAATCAAACAAAGTTTAATTTTGGACCCCAACTTGGACCAACTTGAAAACTGGTCCCATAATCAAAAATCTAAACACATGTTTAGATTCAGCATATCAAAGAACCCTAAGAATTCAATTTTTGTTAAAATCAAACTAAGTTTAATTTTGGACCCTTTGGACCTTAATGTAGACAAATTTAAAAAACAGGACCCAAAATTAAAAATCTAAATACACGGTTAGATTTGGCATATCAAAGAACCCCAATAATTCAATTTTTGATGAAATCAAACAAAGTTTAATTTTGGACCCTTTGGACCTCAATGTGGACCAATTTAAAAACGGGGCCCAAAATCTAAAAACTTAATACACGGTTAGATTCAGCATATTAAAGAACCCCAAGAATTCAAGAATAAAACCCCATTGAAATTGATCAAGAAATAAGCAATTTATACGAAGTATCTTCTTTTGCACAATACTGTGCAATTGAATATTTCTTGCTATTGCGCAATACTGTACAATTGACAAGTTCTTGCTATTGCGCAATATTGTGCTATTGGATATTTCTTGCTATTGCGCAATACTGTTAAATTGAAGATTTCTTGCTATTGCGCAATACTGTGCAATTGAAGATTTCTTGCTATTGTGCAATACTGTGCAATTGAAAATTTCTTGCTATTGCACAATACTTATTATATAATAATTTACACATCCTGTTTGGTGTGTATCTCCTACCATATCATTATTATTTGCTTTTAAATATAAATCAGAAATAACCAACTTAAAATGGAAAATTTTAAAAGTAAAAAAAAGGAAAAAAAGAAAAAAAAAAAAAAAAAAATCCCCCCCCCAAATTTTTTGAACCCCCTTATGATTCATCACCCCCAAACTCAATCCCAGCCTTCCCTTTGTGGTATGGTACCTTGCAGTACAATTTCAGAGAGATCCATACACTTGAACACAAGTTATTGTCTGGAAACTAGAAAAATGCTTATTTTTGGCCCCTTTTTGGCCCCCAATTCCTAAACGTTTCGGGCAATTACCCCCAAACTCAATTCCAGCTTTCCCTTTGTGATATGGAACCTTGTAGTACAATTTCAGAAATATCCAAACACTTACACACAAGTTATTGTCATGAAACTAGAAAAATGCTTGTTTTTTGCCCCTTTTTTGGCCCCTAATTCCTAAAATTTTGAGGCAATTACCCCCAAAATCAATTACAGCCTTCCCTTTGTGATATGGAACCTTGTGGTACAATGTCAGAGAGATCCATACACTTACACACAAGTTATTGTCTGAAAGTTACAAAAATGCTTATTTTTGGCCCCTTTTTGGCCCCTAATTCCTTAACTGTTGGTACCATAACCCCCAAAATCAATCCCAACCTTCCTTTTGTGGTATTGAACCTTATGGTGAAATTTCATGGAGATCCATTCACTTAAACTAAAGTTAGAGTGCGAAAACCAATGTGTCTTCGGACGACGCCGGACGACGACGACGACGACGACAACGACGACGACGACGACGCCAACGTCATACCAATATACGACCAAAAAATTTTTAATTTTTGCGGTCGTATAAAAATGTGAAACATTTCAAAAGAGAAAACCAAAGCCGTGATAAATGCTCAAAAATACAAACAAAAAGGAAATTAGGCAGACAGCAACTAATGACAACCACTCCTTACCATTGGATAGGCACATAATGAATTTGGCAGGTAAAATTTTTTTTTTTAGCGTTCAACACTCCCCTAACCTGGGACAGTGTAACAGCACAACGTTGGAACAAACTATCCATGATATGTATATCATAGTAATGGCAGAATAAACTGTCATGATGTTTTGTAATAGATGGCCACATTTCATGATATAGTGGCATATCACCATCTGCCTATAATGGAAAAACAAAGGATATGGGGTATCCATCCATGACACAAAATCATGCACAGCAAAAAAAAAAAAAAACACACAAAAAGCAGAGGAACAGTGCTTTTATTGCTGTTCTTCATCTCAAAGACACAGTGAGGCCTTCAACATGGAGCAAAAAAACTCACCTCAAAACAAGTTTAGACAGCCCCTAGCACCGGCTTAATGGCTGAATATCCTACGTAATAAACAATGATATTACATGTGTACCAATAACAACCTGCCACTGCATATTATGATGGCTTTTCAACAAAAACAAATAATTAGGATTAAATATCATGATACACTTTACAAAATTAAAAACATCTTAAACCCTCCAACATGTGAGTACTGTCAGTCAGGGGTACTACTTGTACAAGTAATTTTTATTTACTTGAAGAAGCAAATATTAATATACTTATTAAGTAAATTTGTAGGATACTTATACAAGTGTATTTTATTTACTTGTATAGGTAAAAAAAAAATTGGGCTTAGTTATGTCCCTTAGACATTCAGATTTTTTTACTTATACAAGTAAAAAAGTCATCCTATCTTCTTTTCTTGAATTCTTTGGACTTCTTTGCTCTAATAGAGTTTTTGATTGTCTGTCCTTTGCAGATGTCTTTACTAATCATTTAAGTGTAATTTCATGGACAATGAAAATCTCATTTGTCTGTTATCTTCAGAACACTGCTCATTTACAAGCCCCAAAGGGGCAATTTTTGAAGGCCTTGGCAAATACTTAAGATCTTTGCGCAATCAGTTTCTTTGTTGAATTAATGAGATGAAACATTGAACTCTAATAAAAAATTATGAGCTTACCTGAGAAAAATTGTTAAAGGCATGTTTTTACATCTCAAAACTTGAGAATTTTTGTGGGATTGTAAAAAAAATTTACTTAAACAAGTAAATTTTTGACAAAATTAAGGGGAGATTATTCAAACATTATAATTAACTTAAATATAAGTTTATTTTATTTACTTCTTCAAGTAAATAAAGATTACTTGTACAAGTAGAACCCCTGACTGACTGTGGGTTGTAAACAGCATTGACTTTCAATTGATATCTTCAAATCTCTCGATTCTAAAATTAATTAATGCATCAATATATTTTTAATACTGCAAAAAAAATGGATTACGTTATTTTTATTTAATGATTTTCATTAATTTTTTACAGGAAACGTTGTATTTATATTCAATTTGTATTCCAATTATCATTTTCAATCTGCTATTGATACAATGCTGACAATTAAGCATTTTGTATTCTGGGCTTAAAAGAC